GGACATTTGCTTTCTGCAATATATTTTTCAGCTTGTGGATCACCAGAGCTGTGAAAACAAATTAAAAACTATAATTTTGCAAGTGGCATTGGGTATGTGGTTTCAGCTAACTGCTCAAATTAAAAACTATAATTTTGCAAGTGGCATTGGGTGTGTGGTTTCAGCTATCTAACTGCTCGCTTTTTCAGATTAGGAGACTCGGTCCACTTGTGTTTTATTTGTTTCAGTCAAACTCCCTGTTGCATTGATTATTACTAAACAGCAGCTCTGAGCCCTCACCCTCTCTCAGAAAAACCCAAGGAAAAAAGACCTTTACCAAGTTCCATTTTTTAAAACGTAAAAGAAAGCACATCCTGAGAAAATATCAGATCACTTCTGATTTACTTAATACTACCCTCACTGATAAAAAAAATAAAATAAAATCTGAACAATTAGCAGTATCTTAGCTAGTTAATATAATCTTTATTTCAGGATCATACTTCAGTAGCATTTTCATTATATCAGCTGTAAATAATTATAGCAATTACAAGCAGATTAAGTTATTACCAGAAGGAAAATAAAAATGAGACTACACACAGATTCTCTCCAACTTTTTTTTCTGTTACAAATCTTATGGATGATATTTGATGCCTTTATGCTTACAGGGTTGAACATTTAATTAGGTAGGACTAAAACTATTAAATAAAGGTAGAACTTTTCTTTAATTCAATAAATAATTCAGGACAGGTACTGCACCATATGTTAACCTCTGTAACCTTTTCTGCATACAAATAATGAACTCTGGTAATAAGAGTCCTCACTACCACTGCAAAGTAGACCAAACCCACCATTATTTAGGACAAGTTATGAAGTGTAATGATTACCTATTAGCAAATTCCTATTTCAATTTGACTCTACAAACCAATACTGGCAAAGAATATTCAGTCTAACTTCTTATTCCAATTAATTAAATAACGGAAAAAATAACCAGAGACAATTTGGGGGGGAATCTGTGATTCGTCTTATCAAAGCCAGACTTCTGAACAGACTTAACATTTAGATTTTAAATGTAATAGACAGAGCAGCTTTAACAAGAAGACTTGTGTACTGACAGGAATTATAGAAGTATTTGCCATTTCACCTTCAATTTGTAATACAGCAACTCCCCACATGATTTTTTTTCTTTCATATCTATTCACTTACCTTCTCCCAAGAATCTGCTTTACTTTCACTACTGTATTTGTAATATTTCTGACTCTGCTTTGTTTTGCTGCCAAACCAACAACCTACAAAATAGAAAATAAGTTACAAATTGAAAAAAGAACATTCCTCTTTCTCTCTGACAAAAAATGCTACAGCATCAAGAAAAATTACCTCTTCATTTTTTGAGTAAGCAACAACAGCCGGTGTGACTCTATCACCTGCATCGTTGGCAATCACATCTGCACGCCCATCCTAAAAAGAAAGGCGTCACTCAGTAAAATAGTAGCATGCTTCCCTATCTTGGCAATTTAACACATAGCATCAATGGTTTATTAACAAATAGCTTGGTGCCAATTAAAAACCCTGGCTCTAGGAGTGAGATTAGCATTTCACTAGCCCAGCCTACAGAGCAACAGCCTATATGGTAAGGGTGGGGAACCTGCAGCATAGGGACCACATCTGACCACCCCCCACCAGCTTGTCTGGATCTGATCCCCAACACTTGGGGCTCCTCCCCACCATTGGGGAGTTGGTGCTCCAGCCCTGTGGCCCCCTCCTGCTCATATCCCCCATGTCCACTCCTTCACCCTACCAGCCACACCAACCCCTAATTATGTTCCAGCCCTGTGGCCCCCTCCTGCTCATATCCCACATGTCCACTCCTCCACCCTACTAGACACACCAACCCCTAATTATGTTGATCATTTTCTGAAACAAAAATGGGGATGTTAGCCACACCCCTTGATCCCTTAAGCCTCTCCCACCTGTCACATGAAACCCCATCCCTGGAGATAGTACAGCCAGGGTCAAGATGGACACAACTGGAAGTAAAGGGTGTTGTGTGACACCTCTAAGAACTTCTCCCACTATCCTCTGCCAATAGGGATGGATTTGGGCCCTAAAGGACCTTTGTGCAACTATACCGCAATTGCATTAATCCAACTTGTATTGCATTAACTCAGGGAGATATGCCAGGGGTGCCACTATTTCAGTGGTTCTCAAACGTTTTGGCCTGTGAACCACCTGGCTCAATATTAACATTTTTGCAGACCACCAATTGCTAATGGAAACTCACTGTTAATTACATAATTAAGCCTGAACATTTTGCTAGTGCTGCAGCTAGGGAGAACAATTTAATTTAAATTATTAAACAGTTGAAGCATTTTAATTTTTTCATGCTAGTTTATCAAACTTCATTTTAAATAAAGTAAAACATTAATTTATGTCCAACACAAAGGTTTCAATGCTTTCTTCATTTACGGTGGAGTGAGGAACCTTATTTGGTTTGGGGATCACTGACCCACAGAAAAATCAGTTGGGGACCACACAAGTGAGAAGAAAAAAAAACTCTCCTCCAAAACCCCCCAACCCTCACCGATCTCACCAACTGAGACACCAGACTCCTCTGGCACTCTAGCCCCACAGGGCAAGGGGAAGGGTCAGAGAGGACTGAGGTTCAAGGTAAGGATGTTAAATTGCAGTTATCAGGCTAATCAAGTAGTTGATACAATTAGTTGATAAGTGCCCCTCTGTAGAGAGGTAGTGGGGGGTAGCTTCAGGAGCTGGCACTCAGCAGTCCTAGCTCATACCAGCTCCAGGAGCCACCTGAACTGCAGCTCTGCATTTTAAATGTAGTAAGTGCTGTCACACTGTTACTATATTTAAAATGCAGAGGTGCAGAAACCCACATGAGCCGGGATTGCTCGATCCTGGCTCACACAGAGTCCAACAGCCCCTGTTCATGGCAGACATCCCAGGCCATTGTGAACAGGGGCTGCAAGGTGGTGGCAGCCCCTGTCCATGGAGGTCCTGCCATGGGCAGAGGCTGCTTTGCAGCAGGCTCCTCTATCCCCCTACCCTGTTGCATATGATAGAGGCAGCGGCAGGGGGAGCAGGCAGCACCATGGAGATGGTGCTGGGTGGAACTGGCTTTTAAGCCAGGTCCCCCAGCACTGACTACTTCCCCCATCTTGCTGCATCTGGACAGCACTCTGTCATTCCCCCAGCAGGGTGGGAAGGGAGAGGGAGATCCCAGCGTAGCCATGAGGCTGCAGCACCAAGTCAGACTTCCAGCTCTGAGGGTACAGGGTGTGTGTGCGCACGTGCGTGAAGAAACCCCGACCTTCCCCGCCAGACCATGCTCACTGCCATTCCCCCAGAAGGATGGCGAGGGACAGAGGGAGAGAGAGCGGCAGCGCTCAGGGGTATTGAGCCTGAACACGCCCTGAGGGGGGTGGCAGTGCCCCCCCCAGGTTCCATGCGGCCCCTGCTGGGGGTCAGGCAGCAGTTCAAAAGTGTCAAGGTCTGGGAGCGGCAACTTGGCGCCTTTTGCCTTGGACCGGGCCACTTCTTCCCCTCCCAGCAGAGGCTGCTGTAACAAGAACAAGCTGCCGCCTGCACATGTGGAGGAGGAGGCTGTGCAGCCAGACTAGGGGCCCCATGCAACAGAGGAATAGAGATATAAAATTTCAATTATTTGGCTAATCAAACAGTCGATGCAATTTGCATCAACTATTTGATTAGTTGATACGGGCACCTCCACCTTTGAAATGTAGCAACAACCCCAGGGGTTGCCAGCTGACCCTGAGCTCCGCGTGGCGTTGCCACTTTGACATGCAGCTGAAAGCCCCCAGCTGGCATGGGCTGCTCGTGGCTTTTCAAAGCAGCAGTGCTGAGTGAACCCCGGGGTCAGGTTCTAGGCTCCATGTGGTGCTGCCACTTTGAAGCACCCTTTCCTTCCCTCCCTCCACCTCTTTCTGATAGAGGCAGCAAGGGGTGGGAAGTGACTAGTCATTTGCATCCCTACAGAGGCAGTGCCGTGGGGGAAAGAAAGGGTCATGTGGTGGTGGGGCAGTAGGTGGTGGAGTGGCCAGAAACCACATGCCACCAGAAGCCCACCCCAGCTGGCAAAGCTCCAATAGAGTCACCCTACATGCTCTGCAGGGAAGGGGGAAGACACAGCTGCTGCTGCACGAGGAGAAATGGCAGAGCACAAACTCTATCACTTCATCCCGCAAGCCAGTGTCCACATCAAGTAGTGAATTGTCCAGCAGGGCTTTCTGGAACATTTCACTACTGGATGGGCACAGAGTACTTCCTGCTCGCTCCCACCCAGCCCCACACTCCCAGCAGCCCCCTCCCACACTGAAGTCCTCGTTTTGGCCCCACCCCAGAATGTAGGGGGCCCACAAAAAGCTACTAGCCTAGGACCCTCAGGCTCCGGTGTACGAGGGGAACGTGGGTTTGGTTTTTTCCCCTTCACTTTTGAGTGGCCCCTGATTCTTCTGTGGGTCAGCCCCTCCCACCCCAAACCAGGCTCCCCAGCCCGGCTCTGGGGGGCAGGACTGCCCCCACCAACCGC